GACCAATTTGTTGGACAACACGACGTTTAATGGCTGTGCACGTTCTAACTCATGTTGGTGAGCAAAACTAGACCTTATTGCTACTATAAAATAAGTGCAGATATGTCTAAATCTAGATTAGAATTAAATTAGATTACAACAACAATAATGATTTACAATATCCGCCTAACAAATGGTGGTTGTAAAGCTCTAAACTTGTAATCTAAGAAACCAATACCTAATATCCTAATATTGTATGCTTGTTGGCTACCTTAGTGGTACATTAAAACATTTTATAAAGAAAACAAAAGTTTGAAATTCTGATTTTGGAATTCATTCAATTTTTTATCAGTATTGTGGGGCTCAAATAATCGAATTCGCCAAGTGTTTTCTTAACTGCATAGCAATTGATTTCATAGAAAATTATACTAATTACTTTATGTACAAGGGCATTACTTACAAATAAGGTATAAGGGTGCCACTGAAACCAGTCAATTTATTAATTTGAAACAACTATTTAAAAAGTATAATTTTTTTTTAAGTATAAACTTTTAATTATTAAATATTAAATTGCGTACACAGATCATGGACTATTTATTTAAACAGGGATTTAAAAAAAAAAGTTTTATTAAAACTAAGCTAAGTATACCATCTTTAAAACATTGGTTTCGTTTATTTTAAATATATCCACTGCTAAAACATGTTATCTAAATCAATTATAAAATTATCATTAAAACAATGATTTTGCGAATCTCGGTGGTTCAAATTAAATACAACCGTTATAAATATATGACTTCTTACTCAATATTTTTTAGACACTTACGTTAAAACTTAAACATTATTTATTATTTTTATATGTATTTTTAACAGTCAATGTTTACACCTTAAATATAATAAAATTGAAAACTATTACAAAATATGTGCACAAAAAAATCAATAATAATCATTCCTTAATAATTAAACACGTATTTCAATAACAGGGATTTTTTTATGGAATGGGGGGCAAACGAGCAGACGGGTCACCTGATGGAAAGCGACTACCACCGCCCATGAACGCATGCAACTCAGGAGTCACAAGCGCGTTGCCAGCCTTTAAGGAAGGAGTACACTCATTTCTTGAAGGTGGTATCGGTCCGGCAAAACCGCAGCCGATAACTTGTTCCACAAGTTGGTAGTGCGAGGCAAAAAGTGTCTTGAAAAGCTAATTTGCTGTTGTAAAAAGCCTTTTACAACAGCAAATTAGCTTGCCAGTCGGCCTGTTGGTCTAGTAGTCAGTGTCCTGATTACAAGGCCAGAGGTCGTGGGTTCTATCACCACTCAGAATAAATTATTACACAATAATTTATTCTGAGTCTGTTCTGAGTTATACATATATATGTATCAGGGTGCTGATACATATATATGTATCAGCACCCTGATACGGTATAGTTATTATTATATATAAACAGAGTCTTATACCGTGATACACCCGATTTGGCTTATAGGACGATAGTAAGTTCTTAAATCCTACTTTAAGTTTTTTGAGTGATAAGAGAATAAGGTTGTATATGTACGGGAATTAACGCGATCCCGTAATAGCTATGATACGCACTCAGTCTGAGAACGCAGCCGGTGTAATCTGAATAAACGTCAGGCTATTTACAAATGGAATTAAATTTATTACACGACCACCTTAATTACCATACTTATATGTAATTTACATCATGGAATGCTGATGTTTATGAATTAGTATGAATGTGGGAATGTAACATATCCCTAGAAATGCCAGCTACAATCAGTAAATCCATGATTTCTTTTAATTTTTTCAATCCATGATTTCTTTTAATTTTTTCTTATTTGTCTATATTTACTAAATAACTTGGTACATAAACTATTGTCGAGTTATTTTGTAGTTTTAGGAAATTAATTAATGAGAATTTGAACGAGATTATCAGTTATCATTTACAGGTAAAAATTAAGTGAAAATGATTTATCAATAGCCAATTATGAAAATATATATAATATTAAAATTATAATTTTACACAAATGCCTATATAAAGTATTATTTTGATATGTAGTAAACAGTTTCTGTATATCCAGTGATATTTTCTTTTGTCTATAAGGAATCCATTGAACCAACACATAGGCACTACCAAAAATCGTACATAAACTTACAGACATACTATATACAATGTCATAGTAAATTTAATTTTAACATACTATACAGCAGTATGTTCATCATTCTACACTTTCAAATATTTTGTCAATAGAAATACTATTGGATACATATTTAATAATAATATATTGAGCAATATCCATTTTACAATAAGTACCCATTACACTGACGCCTATAAAAGCCGTTTTTCATTTTTGGACGGGTTTTGGTCTGGTATTGTTTCATATTTATGTTCTGATGCTCTTATCTTGTAAAACAGGTAAACATTAATATAAATTCGGAATGTTTAATTTTTAATTTTATTCTTCACATACATAACTTTTAAATAAACTTGCGTGCATATAAATTAGGCCAACCACAAACTGTCGTGCTGCCTGGCTGCATATTTAGTTTAAACTTCGTCTAAAGCTTTTAACGAGGATACCATTTACATAAAACGTAATTTATTTTGTTTCAAACTTAATATATAGTTACAGAACAATTTATATAGCCCACGAGGTGATCTGACGACCTGGTGCAGGTGAAGCTCACGGGAAGTCGTTGGATGGGGGCAGCGCGGGACCGGTTGTTCTGGCTTTCGGCTGAGATGATGATGATCATTATATATCGAATGAAAGAACGAACTAAAGGCGAAGGTAATTTACAAGTTTAAAATAAAGCATTTTCTCAAATGGCCTAATTTTTATGCACGCTGTTCATTTATTTTTTATAAAGTTGGCAACACTAATGCTTTACATCACTAGCGTAGGTATCTTTGATAACGTTATAGAACATACCTAAACAAAAGGAGTTGCTTTCATTAAATATTTCTTTAAGAAAAAAATCTGGTAAGTTTCTCCAGTGACACTGATTTTTAGGGCTATCTTTTCTGTCTGGCGCGATTTAAACAGTAAAAGATATTTTTGTTAATCTAGGAATATTCACTTTGAACGTTTGTAAAACAGATCTCTGAAATCTTAAGTAATTTTATGTACTAGTGAGTTTCTTTGTTACTCTTTTATCCATTAACTACTAAACTATGTATGTATTTATCGTACAATTTTGCATAAATATTGTAAGGGGTATATAAAAGGACATAGGTTCATCAGAAAAAAAAAACTGTTTCAGAAGCAAGAAATATAGACATTCCAGCTAGAAATATAGTATATAATAGTAATAGCTATTTCAAACCTTAAATATTTTCAAATTTAAATCAAGCTTTTGTTTCAATATTTGCTATAATATGCAGTATTATCTTAATTTCTTTTGAAGTCTTAAAAAACTGATTCTCACTTTAATTACACATTTATTTACCATGCCATACCATACCATGGAATATCATGCTTTTGTTTTTATTTTAGATAAATAATATTCGCATTTCGAACTGTTGTGTTCGCCGAGCGACGCGCGGTAGCCTACCAAGTTAGGCAGACCGTTACGTAGGTACTTGTAGTTTTAATACTCACAGTACGGAATAAAGCTGGCGTACTTCTACTTTACGTACAGATGCCTTTTGATATGCAATGGCACTATCAAGATATGTGTTATTGATGTCGAAGCTCGTAGTACAATAATCACCGGACGCTTGTGTAACTAAACTTTAGTACCCAAGAAACAAGTCAGGTTGTAGGGCTACGTAAGTTTTACGCTTATCAAGTTACAATTTTTTTTTTTAAAAAGACCACTACCGCATTAGGAATATATCCTGTGTCGCGGAGAACTTCACAAACATACATGAAACAGACACAAAGATCACCCAGACTCAGAGAACAACAATTTGTGGATCACACAAAGTTGTCTCATGTGGGGATCAAACCCACGACACTCAGGGTAGTAGTGAGCGGCGATGCGACCGCTTAAACCACTACGCCATCCGTGCAGTCAAGTCAATTGTCAGAGTAACGTCTATTATTATTGTAAAATTTTAATTATTTCTTTTGGCTTAACCTTAGTGGTCACTGTGCTAAGAGCCTACATAATGAAACCCGCTGTTACCTATATATTTTGCAAACATATTTATAATTCAATTGATAGAACCATCGATTATTGCGATCAAACCCTTTTTACGATAAAGGTATACACAATATGTATGGAAGACATTAAGGGAAGGTATTTGATGAAATAGGACGGAATAGTAGTGAAGATGTTGGGTTATAAATATTTAATTATAGTATCTTATGAATAAAATGCTGCTTTATTACGATAATAAGTACTTTTCATGAATCTTAACTCCTAATATGTTCTAGCAAGGGTCCCACTTGTGATAAGGGATTAATTACTAAGTTTGGGTGTACCTAGGTATATATAATAATTAATTTAAGAAATTTACATTTAAAGATTTAAAAAAATATTTTGCTGCCAAATAAATGCGAAAAGCTGCAATATTAAATCACCAATGATTTTAACTTTATAAATTAATCTGTTGCCTGGCAAGCGTATCGTTTGGGAGTCATTTATTACTTGATTTGCAAACAGTAATGGTACACTACATATTATAATGGCTATACCCGTGGACGATATTCGAGATATTTAAATGTTTGTGTAGGTTCTTATCTTATGTACAGAATACATAATGGTACACACTGGCCCACTCTACAAAGTTACTTATATAAATAGCGACTCTAGCTCCGAACTTAACTTAATTACTTATATATTAAAACTCAAACGCAGCATGTGAGTTCATATCGAACCGCTGCGCTTGCGCACGTGCGAGCAGTCTAGTGCGCGGCAATACACCGAATTTAGATTCGACAAGTCGTAGCTGCCTCGTACTTGTATATAAAAATTGACATTATTTTTTCTGCCTCGTTTTAAATGTTTAGAAATGAAGCGTTTCCTCAAACCTCGAAAGGCTCATTATCTGATGCTCTTGCATCATACGTCCGTGTCAGTCTTGTCTTTCGGGAGGGAGTACCGTGAGGGTGACAGTGGTACCGGAATGCTTGATGAGGCCGACCACTTCGGGGTGGGGCAGGTTACGAATCGGCATGTGGTTTATGGCGACGATGGTGTCTCCGACGTGGAGGTAGCCGCAGCGAGCGGCGGGGGAGTTAGGGATCAGTTGACCTGCAAAAAAAATTTTATTTAAACAATAACACATTTTTATAACTTACTAGCTGAGACCCGTGGTGTTACCCGCGTTTGTTGTTAGAACCGCGGGCAACGCCGCGGGGCGAAGCTAGTCTGAAAAAAGTAGCCTAAGTTACTCCTTATGTCATCAGCTATCTGCCAGTCCCGTCGAAATCGGTCCAGCCGTTCCAGAGATTACCCGGAACAAACAGACAGACAGACAGACAAAAATTGTAAAAAATGTTATTTTGGCATATGTACTGTGTAAACATACATATGCATTTAGTAAAAAGCGGTTATTTTAATATTACAAACAGACACTCCAATTTTATTTATTTGTATAGATTTGGTAAACAATCAAAATATTGTAAACGATATCCTGTTGCTATTAGTACATAAAACACTAGTTTGTCTTAACAAGGTATAGCATCAGAATCTCTGCCAATAACACAACTCTAATCTAGTTCTAATTGTTTAAGTTACAACATTAAACAAGATGGACTTAATGCTCTAGGCATAATAATACTATATATTTTATTATAATTATATATATTTTATAATAGTCATATACTAGTTTTATGTTAGCTTTAGTAACAAACTTTATATAAGAATCTAACGACGATACGATGAAAACTTTATTCTGATTCTGCAATTTTTATTTTATTTTTTACTAGCTGACCCGCGCAACTTCGTCTGCGTCTCTCAATAGTAATAAATTTTCTCCGTTTTTGAAACATTCTTCATTGGTGCTCCGTTCCTATTGGTCTTAGCGTGATGATATATAGCCTATAGCCTTCCTCGATAAATGGGCTATCTAACACTGAAAGAATTTTTCAAATCGGACCAGTAGTTCCTGAGATTAGCGCGTTCAAACAAACAAACAAACAAACAAACTCTTCAGCTTTATAATATTAGTATAGATTTTATACAGAGATGTGTGTACCATGTGTAAGTGTAATAATCATTATAAGTAATACTCACCGATAGTACTAGTGGCTTTATTTGCTGAGGAGATGACGACGAAACCGAAGCCCTCACCTTCGTTCCTCGTCACCGTGACATCGTACGGTACTGACGCCCAACCACCCGTCGCTGTGTCGTACTGTACGCCGTACCTACGAAATAAAGACAGATGGTATTAATAATAGCTTTAAACATTTCACACAAGCCCATCTGATCTAAAACTAGACAGAGCCTTTACGGTGTCTAGACTACTGATAAACGTGCTTCTACATTTCTTGACGGGCCTGTTGGTCTAGTGGTTAGTAACTCTGACTGCTAAGCCAGACGTCGTGGTCTCGATTCCCACAAAGAACAAATGTTGTGTGATGAGCACGGTCATTTGTTCTGTGTCTGGGTGTAATTTATCTATAATATGTATGTATTTAAAAATATATAATTATGTTTATCAGCAGTCTGGTTACCATAGTACAGGCTCTGCCTAGTTTGGGATCAGACGGCCGTGTGTGTGATGTGTGAGATATATTATTATTATTATTTCTAAATCATAATCAACAGTCCTTACTAGTCCACTGCTGGACATAGACCTCTCGTTAGAAAGCACGATTTGGCCTTCTATACCACGCTGGCTAGACCGTTTGGTATAGGATTTGTTTAATTTTATTTTTATTGTTGCAGTGCTGTTATCAACCTTTGCTCCCTTAGTCACCACATTTCTAAATACATACATAATAAAAATAAATTACACTTAAGACACATAACAAATGATAATACTTATTACACCAATAATTGTCCTGGGTGGGAGTCGAACCCGACCTCTACATCAGCAGTTAGGATCACTAAAGATTAGATTCGAGTGCTGTCTCTCAAGGAATTAAATATAAATTTAGGTTATTAATTACAGAACAGTAGCATCGTCGTCTGCTAAATATATTGTCCAGTTTTTTGACTGTACTGTACTGACGAAAACATTAAACAGTGGTTTATTAAATTGGAATATCATGCTATGACATTTTGTTAGTCAGTTACGGCAGTTGTGATGTATTGTACTTCTAATACATAAATATTATGTTTAAGTTTTATTACTCACATTGGCACATGCGCTGCGGGTGGGTACATAGGTGCTGGGTGGAGTATGTTAAATTGCATGGGTGGTGCATGATGTACTGAAGGATCAGCACTGTGAACGAGGTTTTTTTTGTTAATGTCACTTCAAACTTTATTTAACATAGAATAGAATAATCTGTATTGTACACCAATGCAGGATATTATACATACTATAGGAATCTAAGTTAATGACCAAATGGCGACCTTATGGCTATAGGGAATCTCTTACAGGCAACCTTTGGATGGACAAATAGACTGTAAATAGGTTTGGGCAGATTTTGGTGGGAAAAAAGTGTAAAGGAATCAAAAAAAAATCTATACAGCAGAACAGCATTCCTTTGTAGCATAAAACCAAGTAGTGTTAATTATATACAGCAGTCGGTCCTAGCAATACTTACTTATATAAATACAAGTTAATACATAAGTAATCTGTGATACACACATACATACACAAATACATAAAATCTACAATTCATTTGCAGAGGAATACAGTAGATAGGATATGTTTTGTAAATAACAAATTAAAATGACAGGTAATGTTTTTTGACCATTTTTTAAAGGTAGGTAAAGTTTTAGCACGTGTTATAGGTATGGGCAAAGCATGCCATAGACGGACAGCCTCTACAGTAAACGACTTATCGTAAAATGTGGTACAGTGTGATGGTCAATATTATATGACAAATGAAAGTTAATTATTTTTAGATTTGAGAAAAGCATTTGACATCGTCCCTAACTTCTTTTGCTGTTTGAAAAGATAATTTTTTATATAAAAATGCGTATAACCTTAAAAATTTCAGAAATAACCTTAGCCAATTAATGTTCCGAATGCTGATAGAATTATTTAAAAAAACAGTATTTGTGTGGGTGTGCCTCGAGGCGGTATAGTGGGCCCAGATATACTCACGCGAGTAGCGGCGCGTGCGGCTCGGCGGCGGGCAGGCCGAGCGGCTGTATGTCGGCGCGGTTGTGGCGCACGCCCAGCGTCACGTGGCCGCGCGAGGCGGCGGCGCACACGTACGACACGGCGCGCGTGTGCGTGGCGCCCGCCAGCGAGATGTATTTGTGTGGGTGTGCCTCGAGGCGGTATAGTGGGCCCAGATATACTCACGCGAGTAGCGGCGCGTGCGGCTCGGCGGCGGGCAGGCCGAGCGGCTGTATGTCGGCGCGGTTGTGGCGCACGCCCAGCGTCACGTGGCCGCGCGAGGCGGCGGCGCACACGTACGACACGGCGCGCGTGTGCGTGGCGCCCGCCAGCGAGATGTATTTGTGTGGGTGTGCCTCGAGGCGGTATAGTGGGCCCAGATATACTCACGCGAGTAGCGGCGCGTGCGGCTCGGCGGCGGGCAGGCCGAGCGGCTGTATGTCGGCGCGGTTGTGGCGCACGCCCAGCGTCACGTGGCCGCGCGAGGCGGCGGCGCACACGTACGACACGGCGCGCGTGTGCGTGGCGCCCGCCAGCGAGATGTATTTGTGTGGGTGTGCCTCGAGGCGGTATAGTGGGCCCAGATATACTCACGCGAGTAGCGGCGCGTGCGGCTCGGCGGCGGGCAGGCCGAGCGGCTGTATGTCGGCGCGGTTGTGGCGCACGCCCAGCGTCACGTGGCCGCGCGAGGCGGCGGCGCACACGTACGACACGGCGCGCGTGTGCGTGGCGCCCGCCAGCGAGATGTATTTGTGTGGGTGTGCCTCGAGGCGGTATAGTGGGCCCAGATATACTCACGCGAGTAGCGGCGCGTGCGGCTCGGCGGCGGGCAGGCCGAGCGGCTGTATGTCGGCGCGGTTGTGGCGCACGCCCAGCGTCACGTGGCCGCGCGAGGCGGCGGCGCACACGTACGACACGGCGCGCGTGTGCGTGGCGCCCGCCAGCGAGATGTATTTGTGTGGGTGTGCCTCGAGGCGGTATAGTGGGCCCAGATATACTCACGCGAGTAGCGGCGCGTGCGGCTCGGCGGCGGGCAGGCCGAGCGGCTGTATGTCGGCGCGGTTGTGGCGCACGCCCAGCGTCACGTGGCCGCGCGAGGCGGCGGCGCACACGTACGACACGGCGCGCGTGTGCGTGGCGCCCGCCAGCGAGATGTATTTGTGTGGGTGTGCCTCGAGGCGGTATAGTGGGCCCAGATATACTCACGCGAGTAGCGGCGCGTGCGGCTCGGCGGCGGGCAGGCCGAGCGGCTGTATGTCGGCGCGGTTGTGGCGCACGCCCAGCGTCACGTGGCCGCGCGAGGCGGCGGCGCACACGTACGACACGGCGCGCGTGTGCGTGGCGCCCGCCAGCGAGATGTATTTGTGTGGGTGTGCCTCGAGGCGGTATAGTGGGCCCAGATATACTCACGCGAGTAGCGGCGCGTGCGGCTCGGCGGCGGGCAGGCCGAGCGGCTGTATGTCGGCGCGGTTGTGGCGCACGCCCAGCGTCACGTGGCCGCGCGAGGCGGCGGCGCACACGTACGACACGGCGCGCGTGTGCGTGGCGCCCGCCAGCGAGATGTATTTGTGTGGGTGTGCCTCGAGGCGGTATAGTGGGCCCAGATATACTCACGCGAGTAGCGGCGCGTGCGGCTCGGCGGCGGGCAGGCCGAGCGGCTGTATGTCGGCGCGGTTGTGGCGCACGCCCAGCGTCACGTGGCCGCGCGAGGCGGCGGCGCACACGTACGACACGGCGCGCGTGTGCGTGGCGCCCGCCAGCGAGATGTATTTGTGTGGGTGTGCCTCGAGGCGGTATAGTGGGCCCAGATATACTCACGCGAGTAGCGGCGCGTGCGGCTCGGCGGCGGGCAGGCCGAGCGGCTGTATGTCGGCGCGGTTGTGGCGCACGCCCAGCGTCACGTGGCCGCGCGAGGCGGCGGCGCACACGTACGACACGGCGCGCGTGTGCGTGGCGCCCGCCAGCGAGATGTATTTGTGTGGGTGTGCCTCGAGGCGGTATAGTGGGCCCAGATATACTCACGCGAGTAGCGGCGCGTGCGGCTCGGCGGCGGGCAGGCCGAGCGGCTGTATGTCGGCGCGGTTGTGGCGCACGCCCAGCGTCACGTGGCCGCGCGAGGCGGCGGCGCACACGTACGACACGGCGCGCGTGTGCGTGGCGCCCGCCAGCGAGATGCCGTCCACCGACGTCAGCAGGTCCCCGGGCCGCAGGAACCCGTCGGCCGGACCGCCTACGTAAATAATAACACTCGTTGAGTTGAAGCTACAAAAAATCTTTATTCCCGTTGACTATCGCTGACACTGTCACTAGTGTCTCGCCAATATTTGTATTTAGAGTAATAGTACTTCTAATTTCTGGAATAAGATATTTTGTATTACTCATAAACACAATGGCAAGAACACAAACTACTTAGATATTCAAACTTAACGACTCAGATGTAATAAAGCCACCTCATGGTAGGTAATCACCGACGGCCTTTGAGCAAATTTCCCGCAGAATCAATGGAGGGGAGCTTGGACTTCAATAACCTTACTCATTTAGTTAAAAGCAACAAAAGAATAGTTTTGTTTTTTGTTTTCTGTAAGGCCGTGGTATCAATTCGGTCCAGCTAACCCATTTGTGACAACCTTGGCCCTGCCATGGTAACTTTGAATACAATGATTTATTATTATCCAATTATTAATCTTACCAGGTACTACATATCCGACAGCGACTCGGCTACCGTCCTCCGTACCGCCGACGATACGGAACCCGAAACCAGCCGCGCCCCGAGCTAATCTTACTATTACATCTGCTGAAGGGTCTTTCGCGCCGCCTCCTGACACCTGTTAAATTTAATCGTTATTATTCCCAATTATATTCGTATTTTTTTACACACATTTTAAATTGCAGAATAGTCGAAGAAAATTAAGTGAAAGTTTCGGAGTAAGGTTGTGATGGCACAGCTGCATTTATTTGTGTATATTTGTAATAATTACTAATGATATGCTCGCATCGTATCCTAATTCGCGAATATTCGAACAAAAACTGAAAAATTGTACCTACCTAGTGGTTTGCTGCTGAATAATAATTACCAGTAATAATACCGTTTACGTATAAAATGGTACAGTAATAAATAATCACCAATAATATAAATCTTACCTTTCCAATCCATAAAAGTGAGACCTAAAATTAAATGCATACATTTTTATGTACTATATTATAACATGTACTAGTTGTTGTGAATTGTAGATAATGTGTAATTGTTTTATTGCAGGTAAAAAGCTTTACTTCTGATAATGTATTAGACAACTGACACATAGACATACATAATTTCACATCACATCAATAGCCTTTAATAGTCCACCGCTGGACATAAGCCTCTCCTTAGAAAGGAGGTTTTGGCCTACTATACCACGCTGGCCAGACGGGTTGGTATAGGGTTTGTGTCAAGTTTTTCTTCTCTCTGCAGTGCTGTTGTTCTGCGTAGTTTTTCCCTTGTATTCTTAATCCGTCACCACACAGATAGTATAGTACAGTATACGTAATTTATTGCATTTAATTCTAAAATGACATAACTTTACAATTTAAATGTAAGTAAATCACATGGACGTTTTCAAAGCACAAAATGCACTTTTAACTACACTTCCATGAAAAATCTATACACTCCTATTAGTTGCCGTACATATTAGTCAATGGATCTTACAAATTCGGATCGCATCTAGACTACTAGAATAGATTTCATAGAATACCAAAAATGTATTTTATGGAATACAAACCTGAGGGTAGTTGGCGACGTACAATTGACTGGGTTGCGCATGAGCATCATTTTCTAGGCAAGATGGCGACTGTCGGGATGGCGATGTTTCTCGTAACCTGACGCAATTTATAACTTCCATTAAATGTAATACAATCTATATTGTAAACAATATACTAAACATTCACGCCTGTATATGCGAATACCCACATTTTGTAAACTATAATTTGGTATCACTCATGTAATGAGGCAAAGCCCATTGGGTCATTAGAAGGTGGGGGGGACATAGGAATTCAAGATAGGTAAGTTTGGAGTATGTAAGAATATATGGTAATGGAAGGAAAGGGATATAAAAGATTAAGCCCTCTGTATATTTTTTTATAAGAAAAGACAACTCCTGGGGTCTCAACGGGACTTTGCAGACATACATGAAACTGACACAAAGAACACCCGGACAAGAATAACAATTTGTAGGTCACGGAAGTGTGGCGATCGCTCCCACAACATTCAGCGCTGTAGGAAACGGCGAGGTAACCGCTTAAACCACTACGCCATCTGTGCAGTCATTGAACTATACAATGTGTTTATACAGCTATGGTAACTGGATGCTAAATATACCTAAAATTTACTTATAGTTTGCTATTTAATTTCATTATTACTTTAAATAATCATATATACATTATATTTGACTGCACGGATGGCGTAGTGGTTTAAGTGGTCGCCACGCCGCTTTCTACTACGCCGAGTGTTGTGGGTTCAAACCCCACATAAGAGAACACTTTGTGTGATCCACAAATTGTTGTTCTGAGTCTGGGTGTTCTTTGTGTCCGTTTCATGTATGTTTGTAAAGTCCCCCGCGACACAGGAATATATATTCCTAATGCGGGCGTTGTCTTTTTTAAAAGAAAAGAAAAGAAAGCAATATATTAAAATAGTATTTACCTAAGCGGTGATGATTTTATTCTGCTATTAGACGAATTGTTTGATGGTGACTGACTCTGCCGAGTGGACGGTGAATTAGATAGGAGACGATCTGTGGCACTGTTGTTTGATGGCGAGTGACTTCTTAGTCGACCTGCAAAAAAAAAAATAAAGAAGAAAAATAAATATAATGAAAATAAATTTAATTTCAAAATTTGGAGACTACTAGAAACTATGTTAATTTGAGACTTTCATATGATTTGATTCATCAACATCATCATCAATAGCCTTTACTAGTCCACTGCTAGGCATAGGCCTCTCCTTAGTAAGGAGGTTTTGGCCTACTACTGGCCACTGATTTGATTCTATTTATGAAAATATGTAAGTAAAATTGGCAATCTTTTGACTGAATTTGTGGGTTCTTTTTAAATTGTTATTACCACGCTTCTCTTAGCTTCTTGTAAATACGACTAACTATATAAAAATCTTGGACACACAGTTATACTGCTAACTAGATAGTTAGCAGTATAACTGTGTCCAAGACTTTTAGAAGTAGTTAGTAGTTTGTTAGTTAGTAGGTAGTTAGAAGTAGTTAAGTAGTTAGTGCAATAGAAGTAGATCCTTCAATCGCACTAACCTTGATTTACTAAAAATATAGGTAGTTTGGGTGACAGTACCATAATTTAGCATCTTCGAGGTGATCTATTGATGGAACCAGAAGGCATTGAACTCGTTTGCTACCAATAAACCCCTCCACTTTTTGGCATCATAACAATCATATTTAAATTATAGGTAGCTATTAGAACACTCTTTTTGAACCCCTCCACTTTTTGGCATCATAACAATCATATTTAAATTATAGGTAGCTATTAGAACACTCTTTTTGAGTTTCCTAAACAACATTTTTCTTTCCTACAAAGTTGTAAGGCGCATATTTATTGTATTTACCAGTAGAATTGGATGGTGAATGTGGCCTTATTCGGTTAGACGATGGAGACTGTCTGTGGATTGATAGACCACCAATGGCAGCAGTTGTAAGAGAATGCAGCATACCATCTTCAGGAAAACCTGAGGTGCAAATTAATTAAGAATATTTACTGTTTATAACTAATTGTAAGAATGTGGTACCAGTCGGCAATATTAATAATATAATAAAGTGTAGGATTTTCATATTTTTAGTCCGTTTTATTATGGTTCTTTTTAAAAGTTAATTTAGTTGACTTTTGTTGTAACAATATAGTTAAGTTTAGATTCTTATATGTGTAAAAGTGAAATCTATTTGAAACAAGAATAAATCATATTATACATCAAACTTTTTACAATTTACTTCAATCAGAGGTAAAGAATATAAGAGATTAGATGTCAATAACCGAAACACACACCTCAAATATTTACTTAGTATTAAAAAGTTGTTACAAAATATTTTTTATAGCTTTTGAATATTATTTATATTGTATAGGTAATTGTATCAAAAAATGTAACGTTATTATTATTATTACCTCCTGTTCAAGTAGGTTAAAAATATTTACGATAGAATTGATGTTTGATTAAAATAACTACAAATTAGCAGCTTTACCTCCATTGTCGCTGCTATCCGCTACACTCGCATTTCCTCTCCAATAAGCCGCATTCATGTCGACATGTACAGTAGGGGTGGGAACCTCGCCCCAATTCCCGTTTTCCCACCTTTCATTACTAACCCATCTGTTACCATTGGTACTGTCATCATACCTCTGAACATTTTCCACCCATTTCTGACTGGTCTCATCCCATTTTTGACCATTCTCCCATTTCTGGCCATTCTGATCCCACTTTTGACCGTTTTCATCCCACTTCTGTCCATTTTGATCCCACTTTTGGCCGTTGTCATCCCACTTTTGTCCATTCTCATCCCATTTCTGTGCGTTTTCAGCCCAGTTTCGTATGTTGGAGTTGTCAACCCACGTCTCTCTTTCTTGCCATTGGTTTTCAGGTTGTGTTTCTGACCACGGCGCTATGACGGGTAAGGTCAGGCGACCACCCGGGGTGCTGCTTCGTCTACGGCGGTCTAAGAGGCTTTCACGTTCACGATTCTTATGTTCCGGCACTGCATACGTAGCTTCAACTGTGGATTATTAGAGGAGACAATACAAATACCTAAAACTCCTAAACATGATATTTTAGGTGTTAATAAATATAAAATTAAAGACAGGGTAGGTCTTAAAACTAAAATCATCTAAAATTGTAATGTCTGGTTTGGCAATTGATTACTGACCTGAGTTCATTCCATTTAATCGATCTCTTAGCTCATCTTGGCTCTGGAGATTGGGTGATCTCAACTGTTCAGCTGTAGGTGTTTTACTTCTCATCAACTGGTTATTGTTGTTTGATGCAGCTGAAAAGATCAGGCTATCAGCAGATGTTGCTTTAAGATGACAAAAAAGTATGCAGATTATCTTTTGGTGTCGGTAAGACTTATTATTTGCACCTTAACAATGTTTTAGGCAATTTGGAGGTGATTGTGTTTGTTTTTTATAAAGATAACGCCTGCACTAGGAATATATCTTGTGTTGGAGGACGTTATAGACGTTTATAAATCGGACACAAAGAGCAGCCAGGCTCTTTAACAACAATGTGGATCACACAAAGTGTTGTCCCACGTGGAGATCGAACCCATAACACTCAGTGCAGTGGTAAGCGGCGATCGGTCATCGTTTAACGTCATCCGAGTAGCTGTTTTATTTATAGTTTGTAAAAGTGATGATAATTTTAATAGAGTTCGATCAGACCTAATTACACTGCTATGCCTAAGTATACAGGGTGTCAGGGACATTGTAACGAATACTCATTGTAATTTTCTGCTGGAAAATTCATCTTCTTTTTTAATTATCAATTTTTTCGTTAAAAATGATATCACAATGAGTAAACAGAACATTTCACCGAAAACAAATTAATAAATACTACATACGGTTAAAAACTGCAATGTAATTAAACAAACGGCCATAGCTTGCGGGGCCTCCCCTTCGGCTGTCAACTTATGTTAGTGTGTGCAGACTGTTTGCACATAATAGACGATTAGTTATTACTTTTGTGCGATACCAACGGAGAATGACCTTAACCTTTGACAGTTGATTGCATAAAAAGTTAAATTTGCCGGAATGATGGTCTGAATACAATTTCAGTATTCGTTAGGACGTCCCTTCCACCCTGTAAGCAGCGGGTGCAAGGTGTACTCACGTGCGGCGGGCGGCAGGCGCGTGGCGGAGCGGCTGCGCGGGGCTCGCGCGGCGCTGCTGCGGCGCCACACGCGCAGCGTCGTCTCGTGCAGCGCCGGGCACTCCTTCAGCACCTGGGGCCATGCACGCCTCGGTATATACAGACATTCGCTTTAAAAAAAAATAATGACGCATACATCGAGCCCCGCTGGTTCCAAGAAATCATCGTTACGTACGAAAACTTCGACCTGATCGGTCAGGGGGCGGTGTTCGATCGATGTGTCACTATTTTCTTAAGGCGAATGGACTATAGGTTGCTTTTAAGTGCAACTTTTACCCTCCAACAATCTTACATTAATTGTAAAGGAAGACAAAAGAGTTTTCTATCTAACTCTCTCACTCTATTTGTTACCTTACTGTGATTAACCTTCTGTCCTATCTGAAAATCGTTTTCAGATAGGACAGAAGGAAACATTACCAATAAAGCTAGACAACAAAGAGGCGAGAGCCTTAAGCACCCAAAACGTATTCACACTTGAATTATTTTAGCTATGATTTAGGCCAACTTCGTTGCGCACAACGTCGCTCAGGCGCTTTCTGTTACCATGGAAGTTTGTTTTTGTAAATTTCTGACAGATATATGAGCTGAAAATACTGTAAATATATTGTGTGGAAGATTACCCCTACAGGATAACACTAGCACATAATCCACCTATCGAAGTGTGTAATGGTCATATGATAAAAACTCCGGCTTGTCACAATATCTGAAAAAAAATACTTACAGAAATAAATATAATTTATCAAAAATAAACTTACCTGAACAACATGTTGGTGTGGAGCATGCCGAACGTCAGTGTCACCAATTTGAAGCAACAGATCCCCTTCACGGAGACCAGCACATCGACTGCGATCAAGGACCTACAATTATATATTTTATTATACCAGTTGCTATACATATACTTAAGAGACCTTCGTTTGGCAGTGAACGGCGATAGGCTGATGATGATACATATACTTGTTTTAATTTCTGTTTTATTACTCCTTTGTTTTAATAATAATAATAGCCAACTTTTTGTATTACTTCTAGTACTAAGTAACAAAAAAAAATTATGTAAGATGTCCAATACACAATCCAAGCATCAAATAATTAATTTTTAAATGAAAAAAAATCTACCAGAATCTCTCTGTCATGTCTGACTTTCTATCTCTCCCTTTCTATGAAAACTTATCGATTGTTGAGAGTTAGGACAATGTGTGTGTCAAGCGTATCCTCACCTTTTTGACTCTTTGTCCATGCACACTATCAGCTATAGTGAACCCGAACCCTGCGTTCCCCCGCCTCAAAGTAAGAGTAAATTCGCGACCAGCACCGCCCATAGCGTTGCTATCCGCTCGAGATGTGTGCTCTGAAAATAAGTCATGTTTTAATAAATCAACTTTCTTTAAGAGTCCACTACTACAGGAGGAAAGAGAGGAGGTTTCGGCATACTACCACGCTGGCCAGACAGGTTAGTATAGAATTTGTTTCAAGTTTTCCTTCCCTTTTGCAATGCTGTTGACTGAGTAATTTGCTCCTTTAGTCAGCAGGTTATAAGGGGTCAAAGGTTAAATCTACATTGCTAGCTTTCTTTTAAAAAACCTAGTATTTAGAAAGGGATGGTTATTGTAATTCAATAACCTGAGACATAAGCAAAAAATTAAATAATTATGGACATACCATTAGCTAAAGAAAGTACATGGTCCAAAGATGGACACCTCGGTAGTTCCTGGTTGTTGTCATCAATGGTCAGCTCATCAAGGTCGAAGGACCTGGACATCATCCGTCTTTGTCCCGGGCTGTGGGGTGCTGGCATTGTACCACCATCCGTTTTGTCACGGCCCTGGTTAGACTCGTGGTTCGGAGAGTCTAGGTTGAATCTAAAAATAATGTGTGTAATTAATTTTTAAACGACTTCAAAAAGGACGAGGCTTCTAAAGAATGTATTTGTTTTTTGTTTTATGGTTTTTATCTACAACTCTGTCATTTATGAGATTAGATAAGATGAATTTGAATAAAAATACTACCTAAGGGTGAAAAATTTAGGAGTATTCTCTGTATAAACTGTATATAACTATAATAAACTGTATAGTTTATTATAATTTCTTCTTTAATGTTTAATTTATTTGAGTGTTATATCAATGTTTGTGTGTGTGTTGATATCAATGTTTTTCTTTAATTTTTTGTAGCTATTTGTGAATCTTATTGTCTCACAAATATGGATCAATTTAATAAAGTAAGTATATAGTGTACCTCGTCCGAAGTGCTCTCGTCAGCTGCTGCATAGCAACAGCATCAGAAGTGGCCGGCGTAGTGGCGTCCACTGCCAACGTGCTCAGCACGCGGGTATTGGGGTCTTCAGAGTCGAATGACAAAGGATACCCTGGACACATTGGCTCTTGTTTATAAGGTGAATCATGGTAGTCATATATTTACAACTAAGTTAACAAACAAGCACAGTTATCACTTATCTAGAAATGCTAACAGAAATAGTTAACACTATCTATTAATCATCATCATCATCAACAGCCTTTAATAGTCCACTGCTGGAGATAGGACTCTTCATAGAAAGGAGGTTTTAAGAATAATAGGTCTATGAATACTATTATGTTCTCATGTAAGTAAATGTTATTCTTAATGAGAATAAAGTTTCTGAAACCCGAATACTAGTTGAAAATTCTACAACCTTCGAAATTTCTGGTGTTCTGGTCTTCACTCAGCTTACTTGTTTTCAGTGAGTAAAGTGGACAGACAGTAAAAATTACTACTTTAAAAAAAAATAGAAACACATGTAGAAATTTTAATGATTTCACTAATCTAAAAATGTGATGGAATAATACATCTGTTTTTACATCTGTTCAGCATTGAACCCGGAAAACATTAGTCTCTTTTTGGACAGTTGTGTCAAAAAAGATAGAATTAAAAAATTGAGCCGACGCCGGACGTCTGGCAGATGTGAAACATCGAAATTATTTTATACAAATAAAGAGAATAAAAGGATAGCTTATGAAAGGAAATAATAAATATATCACAATTAAAAAACTAGCTACATCACATTACATGTTAAATTATATTATCACATAGCGTGGCGACGCGTCGTCACTCATATAGTCGCGACGTTGTGACCCTCAGCATTAGATGTTAAACATCAAAATCTACACCATACATAGACATTGATTGCAAAATATAATATAGACGGTTATTAAATGTTACCTCTAAACCGGTTTCTAAATATTAAGCAGAAAATGGCAAATGTTTGCTACTAACCTCTGACAAGGTGCAAAGTGACTTCAGTACCGGGCGTGATAGACTGGAAGACTTGAGCAACGTGAGCATGAGACAGTCCACGTACCCCACGATTGCCGACTCCTACGACTACATCGCCAGGACGGAGGGCACCTAGAAAAAAATAGCCAATAATATTACTGCTATATTATTGTAATCAGTGTTGAGTGTTTAACACAGAGGCGGCAGGTCACTCTTTGATAAATGGTCTTGGGTCCTCAACTGTATTTACTTCAGATTCTGATACTTATTTCCCTGTGACTCTACACTCACCATCAATCCACGCAGGACTATGTGGTACGATGCTGCGGATTTGAAGATAGCCCTCAGTCTCCGGTATACCTTCAGCGCCGATTAACGTGAAGCCCAAACCCTAAAATAGCAAGACAAAAATTATGCACCATTTAAATGGCGAAGATTCTTCACATTAACTTCTGTCATTTCTATCTTTACGAAATATAATATACTTATTAAGAATACATATTTTTGAATACATAGTAATTAAGATCTTTGATATTGACAATTGACAGAATTTATAAGGCATATATTTGGGTATTATACTTATGTTACTCGAGCAAAAATATGTCCTCTCTTATATTGATAATGCGTAGAAACCCTGCTGCGGTAACCCGCCTGCAATATGGTAATAATAATAATTAGTAATTACATTATTGAGATTACCTGAGTGCCTTTAGTGAGAGTTACAGTGAATCTTTCGCCTCTGAGTTCTCCCGTAGGAGTTGGTCCATTAGATTGGCTGTTGCCACCGTTTTCTGGAGACATTTTCTCCGCTGCAATAGGAAGAAAAATACCACATTATCTTTTTCATTTAAAAATGATTATAAGAGAAATTGATTATTAATATACTACGCGATATTTGATTCGTGTGAGCATCTTAAAAAGACAAGTTTCATTTCTTAAAAGATGAATTTCGAAAAGGATTCATAAAGTAATCATATATGGAGCCATGCGTTGGAATGTTTACCATATGATGAATTATTATGTAACCATTTCGTCCCTGTTCAAGACAGGTCTCGACCCGATCCGACAGTCTTCAGTGGCAGTTGTCAACGCATAGATGTCTGAAGACGACCTACGACAGCTGTCGATAGGTGCTGTTTCCTCTGCCGTTGACAACTAGCCACTCTGGTATATAAAGCCTTACTAGAACGTTAATCTAAATGCTCATGGCAGGTCTAACATTAAAACATGTTCAACCGACAAACATAATTAGTCGAAACATAAGACCGCGTGATAATGATGATCATCATTTAAAAAACCGGTCAGGTACGAGTCGAACTTGTGCGCCGAGGGTTCCGTACCTACCCAGATTTTACGTTGATTTTCGCGAAAATTTGTAAGTAAGAAAATTCTTTTCTAATTCTAATTCTTATCTATTTGCCAAATTTCGTGATTCTAGGTCAACGGGAACTACCATATAGGTTTTCGACCCAAAACCTATAGTGTACTTCCGGTTGACCTAGAATTGTCAATTTTGGTTAAAAGCAAGGTCTTTGAGCACAAGTAAAGAGAAAATTTTGAAAAATAAAAAAGTTGAAAATTATTAGGAAAATTTTGGTCTTACAAGTTTTCGCGAACATCGAAGTTTGCCTATTTCTTTTTATCGTGTTGACTCAGGACCTTGATTTTTATACACCTAATAGGGACCATAGACTTCAGTATCTGGTATAAATTACAACTTGCTACCGGTTCTGTCTACCGGTTCCTGAGAAAATCGGTGGTGACACACGGACAGACGGACAAGAAACTGATCTTATAAGGGTTTCTTTTTTACCTTTTCAGGTACGGAACCCTAAAAACGCGTTTATTTCTCCGAAATTAACCTGACAATGGACCACCCATTTGTATAACTAAGTTATTATACTTTCGTCTAATTAGTTGCCATAACAATATATTGTCGGGTTATGTAAAGAAAACTATTTTGTTAAGAAGTAAAAGCTAATTTCTACGTTCTGTGGGAAAAAATCATTCTAAATGTTAGAATTTCACAGTTTCGTCTTTTTCTAAGTGACTACAATACTGTGTATCTTATGTTAAGCGTTATTACTAAGCAAATTGCTTTTGTAGGGTACCGGTCTGACGTAAACTCAGCTTTTACACTTTGGTATTGTTAGCGTAAGTTAGGTCACATGTAATTAGGCAAACCTGCAATTTAAATTATAATCATATTCTTTAGCTACGGTGTATCTAGTATCTACCTAATCTCGTATCTATCTATCTATCAATCTTTCAATTTCTCCCACGTGTATGTCGGTTATCAGGGTACAAAGTAGCCTATGACCTTTCTCAAGAATCAAACTATGTCCATACATTATGGATTCCCCATACAAACTTCCACTCCCCTATTCACCCCCTTAAAGGATGATTTCTGGAATAAAATTATACTGTCCTTTCCCGGGACTCAAACTATCTCTATACCAAAGGTTTAAGAGTGAAGAGGTAACAGACAGACATACTTTCGCAATTATAACATTAGTATGGATTATCTATTTATACGATAAACATTAAATTACTTGCCATGACTCATCTACGCAGAGCCTAAACCGGTGGGGGCTACAAACTTGAAATTTTGGTAGTTGATACTATTTAAGTTGTAAACACTCACTAAAAAGGATTTTTGGAAATTTCACCCGTAAGGGGGTAAATTAAGAGATGAACAGAGGTATAAAAGTTCGTCATTTTCAAAGTTAGAAACACGAAATAAGATATAAACGCGGAAGTAGAATATGTTAAACATTATATTCTTCTTTTAAACGAATACCAAATGCTATTTGGTTAACTGTAATATCTGACCACATCTGCATAAAATACGAGTTAGTAGGCGATATGGATATACTATGCACTGCGATACAGACACGGTATTCTACCGCTTCTATTATGTTATTTATCATTAAATCTAATTCACATTACGGAATTATTACTTGAAAACAATGAAAACCACAAAGTGAATTACGAAATGAACAATATACATAGTAAAATTCTGGTAGATTTTTATTACAGCATGTTTAAAAATACTATATTCTCTGACGCTGCTGTCGTAAAAGTGAAAGTAGTTATAATTATCATGGTTGCGGTTAAAAATAGCAATTTAATTATGCATCTGTCTAGTTACAGTGACAGACTCAACTTATAGCTGGGTAAGCGCAGATGTTTTATTCAAATATATTAAATCTCTTTTTATTTGACTTTTCTTCACGAATAACGTAAATACTTAAAAATTTGTGAAAACCTAAACACTTCTATGTATAATCTAACTATTTTTAATATAAAAGTTGTGATTTATGTACTTACGTCAGAACGGCTAAACGGATCTGGATGAGACAGATCAGTACAGAGATAGATTTAGTATGGAATAGTACAAAACGTTTTTTATCTAGAATGTTTTTTCTTTATTACAAATTCGACATTACCTAAAAAGAAGCTAATTTTAAAAATAAAAAAAAATATATAAAATTTTTTTTGCAAAAAGAAGGAAAACTTGAAGCAAATCTTATGCCAGCGAGGTATAGTAGGCCAAAACCTCCTTTCTAAGAAGAGGCCTATGTCCAGCAATGGACTGCCACTGATGATGATGATAAGCTAATTTTAGAAACAATCAAACATCCCGACTGTGTAAAACTAAGTAGAGGTACTTAAAACTTACAGAAATTAAAATTGTAATTCATAGAATTTTCATTACACCCGGTGTCACTATCACAATTAAGACGAATCTAACAAGTAACGACACCTCCCAACCCGTTTAGACTGCAGAGCGTGCCAAGTAAATATACATACGCACAAAAAAACAAATCTCTTTCTGACGCAGTCGGTTAAAAACTAGTTGGGTAATAAAATAAAATTCCTCCGCAAGTAACGTGAGGCTATTTACGGCCGACTTTTTACACAGTTTAATATCGTAATTATTTTTCAATACAAATGTCTAATTAACGTCCAATAATAACATAGAAACAACTCTTGAAATCGTAATTTAATTGATTAAAGTTTTTACGAATTCGTTTCACCTCAGTGGACGATTCAGGAAGTGCTATAATTTATACAAATTACGCGCTAATGCGGTAATGGCCCATTTGGACTATAATAATTCATGTTCAAGTTGTTGTATAACCTGTATTTTATTAATTAAATCGCTCCGCTTCTCTTTCAGCAGTTTTTCGTATTTTGTGAAGAACCAATAAAGACTCAAATAGCGTCATGATCGTAGAATAATGTCGGTTTTGAAAAATACGAAATGCAGTTTATATCATATTTGGATACCACACTGTCTAAATATTATTAACACTACATGTATTTTAGATTTTAAATTATTCAGTCGGTAAAGTGATGGATTTGATAGGCGCTTAAATTAAAGCATGTGATTTTTCTAGAAAATGGTGTAATTATTAGTTGTTATTGCATTCCAAAACTAACCCTATTTTTCACTTGTATGCTAATTTTCATAATTACAGATTTAGAATTAAAAAAGTCATGTCAAAAAAATTAACGTAATTATTTGAAATGGCTGCCGAATGTGCAGTCGAATCGTTCCTAAGTACATACACACGCTTTTTTTATCATGATACCTGCAACTCAAAGAGAACACAACACAAGTGCTTTGCCGCTCTTTGACTCCTCCCAGAAGCATGGGGAGGGGCTTGGGTTGAGATGATGTCACTGACTCGAAAGAATTGCCTAACATCAAGTTTCTGTGAGGCTGTGGTATCACTCTGGTCGAGCCTGGCCCCAATATCATCAGTCTAATCATGGCTCTATCTAACGGCATATTCATTATACTCAACGTAAGTAAGTGAAACTGAAAATATTTTTTTTATCTAAGTTTAGAAGAGACATACCTCTTAATCTTCTGGCTGCTAGTACAGGATTCTCATATTGTGTCGTCCTATTGATATGGTCCACATAATAAGATCCATATTTTTCATCGGTAACTCTTTCCCAACCAAATGGAAGCTCATCTTCACCACATTCTCCTAAGGAATGTTTTCGGACTCTGGCCAGTCGTGGGTCTAGCCAGTGTGAAGTACCAGAGTTATGACTGGAACAAAATCATGGATTAAATATATACATTTTTTTTAACACTGTATAGGTACACAGACCAAAATGGCCTGCTTTAATTGTACTAAATTCTGAAAATACAATAGCTTGTAGTGTGTTATGTGCTTTTATGATAACTAGAAATCATCATTTTTTTTTCCGTGCGGAAATCCCCTCGGATACCACCTATCGGTGGCATGTTGGACTCGAACCGACTAAAACCGCACGCTGTCTCGGGTACTAATAGCCGGGGAACCAGGTATACCCTAGAAAGGAAGTCCCTGGTGCCCCGACATACCTCGGGCCATCTACAGACGAGTAGACGACCCCTCCCGTGTGGGAACCCCATGTTCCCTCTGCTCCCTGGAAGCGAGCGCGTTTTGCAACGCGCTCGCCGCCACCCCGGCCTGCTTCTGCTAGGGTGACAGATGGCCTCACCTGTCACCCCCAGGCCTGCGCTTATGGAGGACGGAGGTCGTTCTGCAACCTCCGGCGCCTGAGTCGCCTGCGGTAACTGGCCCGTTCCCGGGCCTGGTGGGCCGGGAGAGTTCTAAGCCTCTCCCGGTCCCGCTCTGGCCATCGCATTGGTGGCACTCAGGCGTTGGCTCCTTGCGAATTAGACACAGGTGATCCCCGAAACATCCTTTCCCAGTGATCACCTGCGTCAGTCGGTATGAGGGTCCCGTGATGCCTCTTGAGCCAATCCTCCATAACGGGAACTAGAAATCACCCTGAGATGGGTCTTTCATACAGAACCTCTAGCTTTGCTTAGCCATTTTTTCATATCTATTAATTTTTTAACACATTAAGTAATATAGCTGTCTGCTTTATAAACTTTTACTTTACGTTAATTTCAAATTGCTGTCTGTTGCTAGCCAATAACAACACATCCATCAAAAAAAACAATCTGTAAATCTAAAACTGCATTACAGTCATTGGTACCTTGCGGATCATTATTTTATAAATTTGTATTTTTTTTGTAATAGTATCTTTACATTAATTTGTTAACTAATTTTATCTACATAGATGAGGATCTTACAGTTTGAAACTAGGAGACGGAACAGATGGACTACTAGAAATAGGATGGGACTGAGTATTTTAATAATGATAACAAAAAAATATCCTTTCATATTTTAGCATGAGAGATACAAGGGCAACTGATAATCTTTATAATTGTATTATTTTGTAATATTACACAAATATTTTGAGTGTGCGATCATGTGTTATTTTTTTCATTTTGCAGTTGAATTAAAAATTAAATGTCTGTTGAATCATTATCTTAGCAAGTAACAATGTGGTCCTAATTTGATGAATACTAAAGGTATTCTTTTTTAAGATAAAGATCTCAAAGCATATGCAAGATTCCCTGGACCTGAATTCATGATCAGTTTAGTGTAAAGAGATGTGATGCTATTGAGACAAGGGGACCAGATCCTGTTCTTGGTACTGATGGCAAAATTGGGTTAAAGAGTGGCTATTGACCATAGCAAAGTATGTATTCCCAGTCAAGAAAGAGAAGCTGTTTGATACAGATACTGTTCAGAAAAATTGCTAAAGACCATGGACCAAAAAAGTGCTTATTCAGAAACTTTCTATTGAAACCAAAAAATGAAAACAATTTATATTTTATTATGAAAACAAATAAAAATTAGGAAATCACCACCAAATAATTACCATATTATTTTTGTTAACAATAATTATTTTGCAATCATAAAAATTAAAAAAGTTTTGTAATAAATTATAGTTATTTATTGGCATATTTATCAAATTAAAATAGTGGTTGCAAACCAGCTCACTGGTGGTCATAAACTGATGAAAGTGACAATGTTTAGGCTTTTTTTTTTCAGTTTGTTAGCTTTTCATAATAGTTTATTGATTAAGGTATCATACTTTACGTTTTATTTCCAGACTAGACTATACTTGGGGTTAATTTTCACTAACAAATACTATATTTATTTATTTCCATTAAAAACAACTAATAGGTATTGCAAATTGATAACATTTTTTTTTTACTCATCTGTAGTGGGCAACCCAACTTAACTGGTTGCTAATAATAATAATAATGACCCTATCTTGTGAAAAAATACTTTGTAAACTTTAAATACAAACACTATTATTTTAATAATTTTTGGTTGATCTAGATATTTTGTAAGGTTCATTTATATTCAAGAAAGTTATTGGCCAAAGAAAGTGTAATTTTTTCGTGGAAGAAATAGTGTGAAAGCATAATAAGCAAATAAATAAGCTGAGTAAGTAATACAATGACTTATTAGTAGTCTTTAATATGATTTCTTTTACCTACATTTATACCTCGTGATATTTATAAATTTATTATCGCTATATAAAATGGTACCATTAGTATCAGCATAGCTTTGTAGCTGAATTAGATCACAAGCATTTTTAGGGGAATGAAATGGTCAGGAACACAACGATTTGGTCTAGAATGCCTGTTAACACCAGCTAAGCTAAATACTTGTTAGAATAGACTCCGCTTTTATTGCACATCATATTTCGAACATACCAGCTACTTGAACATCAATCCTCACAAACACTTCTGAAGCAATTGTGTGGATGGAGCGTGGAAAAAACTTCCAGATGATGTTATATCTGTCCCAAATTTGAGCCAATACTAAAACTCAACTGATATGTAATTGAATTGAAGAAAGACAACTAATAGAAATCTCTCAGGAGGCAGGCTTTTATCAGTTGTTGTCTGTCTGTCTGTCTTTATAATAATAATATTACATCATATTACATATTACATCTCATAAGGGGTAGGCAGAGGTATACATTTCTCACACAATCATAATTTCATTCCACTCACCCTATGTAATTGTTTTATTTATTATCCAAAGCCACATGGCATTATCTGTCACAATCCACCTTTGGGTTACAATGAGGGATGTGGCAGGTGTTTAAGGCAGTTCATATGCACCTGTCTTATCTCTCACTCTAACTTCTTAATTAGTGAACAGGTTTTTTTTTTTTCTTTTTCATAGTTTTTGCCTCTTTAGTTGTACAAAAAGGTAATGCTCACACCCTATTAACAAATATTTTATAGTTTTAAAATAGAGTTTACTTTTTTGTTTCTACATAAGATAAATGATATTTAATGTTTTCTACATCTCAGTCAGTGATTAGGGTTTTGCTGCTATTACATTGAAGAAGATATTGAGGATATCAATACAAATAAATAAAATTGAAGTGTCTGTTTGTAATGTCAAAATAATAGGTTTTTTCATACTCACATGGTTATTTACACCTATGCCTAAAAACCAGTTAAAAAAATTTTGTGTCTGGCTGCACCGATTTTGATAATATTTTACTACAAGGTTGTCAATATACGGAGTACCTTAGACTTTTTTTCCTATCAGCAAAACTATTTAAAATTTTGCACGGTCTGGGAATCAAACAAACAAAGGTAGCCAAACAAGTCTCAGATACCAGCTAGTGATTACTTTAAAATTATACAATAGTGTCACTTACTCTATAAAATACACTTCGCCTGAAGGTGTGAATGCCTTCTCCCACATTGGAGGTAATGGTCCTAAGTTGTATTCATCTTCATCTTCTCTTTTCAGGACTGCATCTCCAGGCCTCACACCAACCACAGAGCCACCAACAGTCCCAGCTGTCCCAGAACTATGAGTTGAAATACCGGCTGAGGATAGTCTGTCTGAGTCAACTGAACTCTGAGCCATTGCAACTTTAATTAAAAAACACCACTTTTACCATATTTTCACTCACAAAACTTCGTTGTATCCAGAAAATTATTCCCGCCAAATATCACTCAAAACTTTCTGAATTTGAACATAGAACAAGCAAAAGATAGCAAATTCACACAGTATGTATTTTTTTATCTTTCAAATCGCAATTTACTCATCACTATGGTATGTCACGAAAACAAAACAATATAGGAATGTCTGTAACCATGTATGAGTCACTTTGGGATCAAATCCTCACTGACTTGTCGAATCATGTATTTTTTACCTGCGCTATCTACACCACGTAACTGGATTTTGATTAACTTTCCGTAAGACCTTGTTTATGAAACGTGATGCACTCGAGCTAATTCAACATGTTCTGCAGGTGCATCGTAATCGTAACATCGACGATATCAATAACAAACACATTTCCCACGTTCTCCACACAATTGTAACGGTAAATTATGACAAAATGTATTCTTTTACATGTTATTATTATAAGTTCGCCTTCTCACAAACAGGTAAACTAAATTTCCATCATTTTGAAAGTAGGTGCAACAAGTGTACAAGACACACATCTACAGATGTTTGTTTATAGCCACAGTGAGGACATAATTAATAATTAGAGGTTGTAAGCCCCTTTATTAAATTAAAGATGACACTATTGAATTCTTCATTGTTTAATTTAATATATTATGATATTTATCATTCAACGGTTTTTAATTCACAAGCCACATAGTCTGTTTTCACTCTTAAAAATAATAAACGAATTTATCTTTCACCACTGACCGATTACATTACGTAGCATAGACAATATAGACACAAGAGACTAGAAGACACCAACAGTCAAGTTGTGAAACTAGAGATGTGCGCTATCGATGAACTTTTGTAACGGACATCTCATGTAGTCAATCGTAACACAATGTATTTTTATGAATTAAAGAATTTATTAAAATTAAAGTTCATCAAATGTATGTAAAAATATATCGTAATCGATATGTTTAAATATTCCAAAATACATGTTTCTGGGTTCGTGTAATTTTTCTAATTATGACATGTGGCCCAAGAATCCTCTTTGCTTATTAATTTATGATTTTACGACGATTTGAAAGAAGTGTCTTTTAAATTTACAAGATACTTAAAGGCATGCATGTTTGAAAATTATACATTTTGACTACTCGCCAACAGGTGGCACTGTTAAAAATAATACGAAGTTGACGTTTTAAATTAAGCCAAACGATAAAAGTGTATCTATTTTCGCCTATGTTCACAGTTTCCGGTTTGAGGTACCCTATGTCCTTTTATGCACCTTTTTTTTGTTAACGATTTGGAAGGTCCTCATGGACGTCCTTCGCCGATATGGGGGCGAAGGAGTCTGTTGGTAAAAACCACTAAGATGTTCTTCTGCTTGCTAATGGCCGGAGAATGATGACTGCATTATGATAATTGGTAGATAAGTAAGGCAAGAAATAACAAACAAACTCAATTCGGCATGTCCAACCGTAACTATTCCAATTAAATTATATTTATTTCTGTAAGTAAATCAGATATTTTTACAAGTCGGGAAAGTCAAAAGACCCAGTGCCATTAAAAATGATGAATAATCTTAATGTTTTACCATAGATACTTGCTTTGAAAGCAAACATGATGAAAACGGGGATTAAATCAGAAAACAGATTTTCTAAATAAAATTACTTTTATTACCGGGTTTATTTGTTTTTTGGCATCTAGTTTTGCGGCATCTTCACTATCTGTAAACTGATTTCTACAATTAAAAATATTAAATTATACAATAACACGTATTTAAGGTTGGCCCCATTAAAATTAAAAGAAAAACGTCTATTGGAATGGCAAATTAAGGGATGAAGAAACAACTTCAAGGGTCGATGGTATTTTTTTAGTTTAACATTAATAAACTAAACGACCGGCTCCTGTGACAAATTGAAGTCGAACTTCAATTTGTCACTGTGTCATCGTGCTGTCTTTCTGATATATTTTTAATAAACATATTTGCGTCAAACAACATATGATTAATTATGTTTTCTTTTTCAACTCTGTATTTGACAGTCGTTCGAAACAAGTGATGACGGTTTTGTAACACATATTCCTTAATTCTGGAAATAATCAGACACGCTGTCACAGTAAATCCAATGGTAATTAATTCTAAGCGAACATTTCAATATAATATCGTGGAGAACATTTCACTCGATTCGCGACGAAATTAATGTTAACGTTTGTTATGTTAACGCATTCGTGAAATACACGTTCAGTTTGGACGCCCAAAATATCTGTAGCCGGCTTAAGAAGTAATAAATGTATTTTTTTTTACACGCAGAGCCATTCGTCACGGATTCAATGGGATGATATTAACCTAGGTTGGTTTATTAGCATGTTCAGAATAGAATAATATAAAAAAGATTCTTTATCTTCAAGTGCCTTAAGCAAGCAATGGCAAAAAACCACTATTTTATGTCTTTTATTATTGAAAGTAATCTTAATTTTTTACTTTCAAACTTGCCCGCGGAAACGCTATCGTAAAAGTTATTTTCTATCCCTGATTAACAGACTTTTTCTTGATGAAAGTTACTCATCCTGACTGGCCTGTTGGTCCAGGTAGGTAGTGACTCTTGATTGCTAAGCCACAGGTCATGGGTTAAATTTCCACCCAGGACAAATAATTGTGTGATGAGCAAGATCATTTGTTCTGTGTCAGGGTGTAATTTATCTATAGGATAATATTTTTTATATGTTTGATTTAGAAACATATATGTTTGATTTAGAAACATACATATATGTGATATATGTTTTATTTAGAAACATATAAGTACATTTATCAGCAGTCTGGCTCCATAGGCTCTGTCTAGTTTGGGGTCAGACGGTCGTGTGTAAGATTTCGTAAGGTATTATTATTGTTTACCTCTAATAACATGTATGCAAATTTTTAAATGACCGGTTCAATATTGTTAAGAGATAGCGCGTAATAAATATGCGGTTGAATATCTACAGAGGCACATCTGTTAATGAGTTCCAAGAAGACTGGTTGGTACAGTCCTGCATGCGATGCTGGCTTGCGTTTCTAGTAGGTCCTCTGTTCACATAGATGCATCCAATAGGTTACATCTTCATTCGAAAAATCTTGAAATATAATAATTATGATATAATAATAATAATGCCTTATGTATTGTGTCTGTCTCTGAAACCCTACCCACCCTGGTGACTTGGTCCCTGTACTCGTTTTTATCTATACAATTTAATAAAATTGGAGTGTCTGTTTGTAATATTAAAATAACCGCTTTTTACTAAATGCATATGTATGTTTACACGGTACATATGCCAAAATATATTTTTTTACAATTTTTGTCTGTCTGTCTGTTTGTTCTGGGTAATCTCTGGAACGGTTGGACCGATTTCGACGGGACTTTCACTGGCACATAGCTGATGACATAAGGAGTAACTTAGGCTACTTTTTTTAGACTAGCTTCGCCCCGCGGCGTTGCCCGCGGTTATAACAACAAACGCGGGTAACACCGCGGGTCTCAGCTAGTTAAATATTAAAAATTATATTAAAATGTAAATTATATGTATATTTTATCTAGTAAAACGAATAATAACTATATTCCCGTTAAAATTAAAAAAGACATGCTTTTATTGGTAAACCGATCTCTTCCACTTCCATTATCTTCCACCTCGATTGTGAACAAGTTTTATTATATACATATTATTATATTTATGTACAAATAACTTATGATTTCTGATGGATTTGGTAAAACAATTGCCGTAAACCTAAATCTAAAGTAATGTAAAGTAAATTTTATTGTCTCATATAATTACACAGTTATACGTATATTTATCCCGTGTGGTGACGGATTAAGAATACACAGTGTCACCACCCCTATTCATCCCGTGGGTGTCGTAAGAGGCGACTAAGGGAATAAACTACGCAGGACAACAGCACTGCAGAGAGAAGGAAAACTTGAAACAAATCCTATACCAACCCGCCTGGCCAGCGTGGCATAGTAAGGCAAAACCACCTTTCTAAGGAGAGGCCAGCAGTGGACTGTTAAAGGCTGTTGATGATGCTGATGATGATGATGAACTTTAAGTGTATACAAAGTTTCATTTCACTACGATAATCACAAGTAAGTTAAAATTACCTTTTAAGATTTGTTTATATAGTTAGTTACAAGTGAACTAAAACCCTGTTAGGATCAGCATCACCTCAAATTTTCTCAAAATTATAAGGGGTCAGCAAAATTACTTTTCTTCTTCCATTCTCCTGTGTCTTTTCATTCACTGCTTACTTCTTTTCTATCCGTATCCTCTTTCACGCAGTCCATCGATCTTTTCTTTGGAGGTCCTCTACTCCCAACATTTTCTTATCTCTACGCATCACATGTATATACACCAGGATTACTTGTTGCTTTTCAACTTTTCATCTACTGGTGCTACTCTTATGTAATTCAGCTTCCTCTAATGTCGTCATTCCTCACCTTCTCCATCATAGTCACACCGCACATTTTTATCATCATCACAGAACAAAGAACTTCCTTTTCATGTGATCATCATCAGCCTATCACCGTCTATTGCTAAACGTCAAATATCGCGGTCTTGGACAGTCCGCATTCATCCAACCACTTTCATTAAGTTGTCGGTCCATTGTACTGCAGGGCCCCTTCATTTCAGTTTGCCTATTCGTAAAAGATGGTATAAAATAAATAAGCAATGCCATCAAAAACACCGCTATGAACGTTTACTGTATGTAGATGTATTGTCTATAATTCGAAATTCCAGACTCAGTTCAACCACCGAAAAAATCATAAACATAATAACAAAAAAGTTTTTTTTCTCATATTTCGCATTAATCTTTTTTCGCTTAAATTTTAATACGCCTATAAAAAATATATAAAAAAGAAATTATGAGCCAATGATATTTATTTTTCTGCCAGATATTTTGAATGAGTATCACATTTATGACGGAAAATATATTTTAGAGATTG